TTGACACTTGTTAACTACTCCGCTCGAATCCATGGGTAACTCTCACCATAATAAAAGACAAGATGACATGACCGAAGTATAAAGAGGTGGGAACAGCTCGGAGAAGTCAGCACTGAAGGGAACAATGTTAGCGAATACACAGAGCCACAGCCTGAAGGTCTGAGAAAGATAAAGAGGCTTCCTCTCTCTTTAACAGCATAAACGGATCTGCCAAATTTCAGATGCTACATCCCAGCAGAATATTTTGTGAAGGGGAAAGAGATACAAATGGGCAGTGGTTGAAGCACAAAACGACCAGAAGTATTACTCATCTCTTTTGCAGGACCTCATTGAGAAATATGACCATTTGCAGGGAAAAGCTGTAGGATGACTGTTTATTCCTGCATAAATCTAGACATCAAAAGGATTCCCATTGCCGAAATATGACCATTTGCAGGGAAAAGCTGTAGGATGCACAAATCTAGACATCAAAAGGATTCCCATTGCTGTCCACAAAGCAAACGGCATGGAAACCTTTTACACATTCAAAATAGCTTTTTAAAAAATGTTTTGTTTTCTGGGGAGGTCTGAGTGCTTCACTTATGAAAATAAATCTTTAAAGCTGACAAGGGAAAGAATCCTTTGCAGATGGAGGACTTGGCGCTGAAGGAGGTGAGCTGACTTTTGCAGCCACCACAGGAAGAATACCAGACACAGCCAGGGGCTGAAACGCCTCAAACTTGAAAAGATTCTTAACTGTGCACAAAAGAGACTCTGAGAAGTTGACTGCGAGCTTACACCTGGCCCTAGTGGAGCTTCCTCATCAGCATTCTAACGTTGGCCTCAGACAGCTGGGGGGTAAAATCTTGCAAGCACAGGAAAATAGACAAATTTCTCTCCTTCACGCCTAATCTGATGACTTAAACCTATCTATCTTAATGCCTCTCAGGTGTTCTAACCATCTTATGCCTTTTCAAGAACTCTTTCTGCAGGGGTTAACACTGGCAGCTTCCCTTCCGATTAAACACATCTGCCACAAAATAGGAGGACCTTCTGAATACAATGTTCTCAGAACGTCTAATAGGAAATTTGCAGGGTTTGCATGCTGGCGAGTTAAAACTTATCTTAAGTTTTCTTAGACTTTTGAGAAACTAGGGGTTAATTTTGTTTAGGATTTAATGTCCTTCAAACAAAGGCATCAAAAAATGTTAATACACTGGAATTACTGGCTAAAATATAAATTTTAAAAATTAAGCAACTACTGAGGTTCAAGGGTAAGTTTTCAAAAAATGCTAAAATCATGACCCTCGTCAGTACAAAATTGAACACGTTTAAGATTTTATTTAACTCATTAATGAGGAAACTAGGAAGGTGTAACAACAGTTCAAAGGAGGATCAAGCAGCAGACACTTTATAGATCAGGAAGAGTAAAATGAATGTAGAAATGGCAGGCAAAACTCACCTTTTCCACGGCCGCGAGGCAAGTCAATTGAATCTCGGTGGGACAGAATTTACGTGTCTATAGCAAGAGTTATTTTATAATGCTATAAAATTGTTATCTACAACTTACAGAATTGTAAACCAGCTCTGTAGAAACACAACTAGATAACCCCAAACGGTGTGCTATTTCCATGGATGCAACAAATTTTTCCCAGCACAGATCACTAACCGCCTTATTCATTGCTGCATTCGCCAAACCTGGTACAGGGTAGATGTTCATAAAGACTTGCTTAATGAACAAATGCCTGTGAAGTAGCAGGCATTAAGCTAGGCTCTTCACAAGTATTATCCTATTTAATCTTCCCAGTAACACTTAGAGATAAATATTATTCTCATTTCACTGATGAGAAACTTGTGTGATGTTGTACAGATGTTACACGTCAAAGGCTGGAGGTGGAGGGCAAGGCGGGAGGATCTGAGCCATGTCTGTGATCAGAAAGCCTGCCCTTTTTCTTTGTATTTAATATTTGTCCTTTTTATTTACTGTCACTGTACCGTTTGCTTCTAAATTAAGGGATTACTTATATGCTACATTGATAGACCATGACTCCTTGTTAAGCATAATACGGGAGATCCCTACTTTAAGAAAAATAAATGAACTGTACTTGCGAGAATCTAAGCCTAAATGAGAGACACATGAGCATCTTTATTGCAGCCTTGTAGACAAGCATAGGATATTTACCAGCCCAGACTTTTTCCCCCTCTTAGGTACTCATTTCCCAATTTTCATGAAAATAAAGGTAGACGAATTCAACACTGTTTATATATGTTGTTTGTATTCAAAGGAATCAGGACAGCACGTAGGAAAACAGCAGCAGCTAACTTTCACTGCATGCTTACCGTGACTGTGAACTACCTGCCACAGCAACTCTGTCAGGCGGGTATTATCATCATCCCCTTTTTGCAAATGAAGAAAGCCAAAGTGCATCAAGTAACCATCACAAAAATCACACAGCTAAACTGCAGTTCTGGGTTTTTCCCTGACCTCTCCCTAAGTCATTCTACTATCTGCATAGGCTGTTGAGGTTTGCTCTGTCATCACATGCCTCAGTATTTTATAAACCTCTTTGCCCTGTTGATCACAGCCTCCAAGGGTACTAGGATTCCCACAGCTTCTAGCATCACAGGGCTGGTAACTGCAGGCTCGCCTAAGTCCTAAAAGCTATTTTCTGGCCATTTGGCACTTGTGATCATTTGAGTACTTAACATTCATTCTTGGGCCAGAGAAGAGAGGGAGACAGTGGTCTTCTGAGGCCTCAAACAGGTGAATGTCAAAAAGACATGGACCAAATAGTAACCTGAAATCGTTCTGTCTGTTCCCTAAGTCCCCAAATGATTCCCTGCTTTCTTTCTTCCCAGAAAAGAGGCTGCCCTTAGAATGAAGAAACAGCATGTTTTTAGACACCTCTCGAAGAATCTTAAGTAATAGTGCAATGCTGGCATGCAGAGGTGTTAATAAATGGCTGTCTTACTGGTTTACTCATATTATTTCATTTAATTTGACCGTGACTCTCTAAGACAGGTACTATTATTATCTCTGTTTTGGAGATGGAGATGTGAGGTTAAATAACTTGCCCAGAATCCTTGCCAGGATCTTGTGCAAGGTCCCAAGAAGGTTGTGACTTATCAACGGCCAGCAGTGTTCACTGGAGACCAAGTGTGCCACCAAAAGCAATAAGATGATTGTTTGAAGCACATATGTCATTCCCACACCCCCTTTCCCTATGTCACCTAACAGAACGCCTCGGGAAGTGGCACCATTTCCTCCACAGACACTGAAGCAAGAGATTTTCATTTCTGAGGAACCTGCTCAGTCTCTTCAGACCGTTATAAACGCGCACCCTTCCCTCAAGGGTATCTCATAATTCTCACCCCTAATAAAAGATAACACTACTTTCAAATAAGATCATGAAAAACGCTTTGCCCTTCCTATCACACGGGCGTTCAGAAACATTAAGCAGACATTATCTGACGAAGGCGACCGTCATCAGTCAAATGCTTATGAACTGATTTGATCATTTGTAGGGGTTGAATACCTGCTCCTAGAAGGAATTTTCTTATATTCTTAAGGGAAGAACTAAGAAATAAAAATCTAACACCTAGAATCCAAGATAAATTCCACCTGTAATTTCAGGATTTCAGGAATTTCATCCAAATGGCCATTACCTCTAGTCGTGGGGAGAGAGAAAGTACATTAAGGACCATTTTTATACTTAGGTCAGGAGGATTTCACGCTCTGTTAACTCAGCCTGAGCTACACTTGCGTGTGTGCCTTATATATTAAACATTATTGACTGGGTGAGCAAGACTCCATGATAATCTAGTGCAGTGTTTTGTAAACCTCAGTGTTAAAAACCGTTTTTCTAAATCAAGTTTTCTATATAATTCAAATATACAAAACAGACATAAAGGGAGCTGCTTTGGTGACATACCCGCCTCTGCCCAAAGAACACTCCTTGTCCCTCTGGCAGCCTCAAGTGTATCCAAGGGCTCCACGGAACACACTTTGAAAACCACCCGTCAAGTTCTGCTCTAGGAAGGTGGGATCTGCCCCAGATCTCAAAGCTACAGGGTAAGAACTGAATTGCAAAAAGAAATACTTTCTGCTTAACGTGTCCTATTCCAAAGTAACATAAACGAATAGAACACAGCGAGGTTAGGATTTCAGAAGACAGAAGGTATGTGTTTGGAAAGCGGCTTGGCCTCTAGACTGCTGAGTTACTCGAGAGCAAGTCACTTTCCCATTACGATGATGTGTTTTCTCTTAGGAAAAATGGGAAGAATCGGGACTTCGACATTTTTTCCTCTTAGAGCTCAGTTTTGGTGCATAGATAATATTCCTCAGTCCTATCTTTTATCACGGTGTTTGCAAAGGAGGAAGGAGGGAGCAATGTTGCCACACAAAGCAGAATCGTTTGGAAGTCCCCGTGACTCTGACGGGCTCCCACAGTGGGCCTATCCGCTCCCCTTTATCCACCCCGATTGAGAGACTGGTTTCTAAGGGCTTTGATAGTTCATTACAATGTCATGTTTTCTGCTTCCAAGTTCTTCTTGACCACCACAGAGTTTTCAAAGCCCCTTGACATAAATAAAGTCTTAGTTTGTGCTATGAGAGTATTCATCTCAGGGGGAGTGAATTAGTATTACTATATTCACTTCAGGATGTTCCTACGGAGAAATCTTTTCTACTTAGAACACATATCTACTGATCCTGTAACCGAGCTAATTTGAAAGACTTCCTCCCTTTCCTTAACATTACTTTTATTTTTCTCTAGAATCCCACACCCGCTTACCCTGATTCCCACATACTTTTAGACACTCCAAATCCACGGTTCTCTACACTAACGTCTGATGCTTTTTAAGTAGCATGTCTCGCATAGACCTGGAATGCATCACCCCTTTTTAACGTAAACCTACACCAGAAAACTTCAGCAGGGAGATGCTGTCTCATTGCAAGGGTATGGGAAAGGCCATCATGCTGGGGAGAGGGAGTGAAATATTTTGGATACTGCATACTTTACCAGTTATGTCATGCTGTTTGAATGACTCACTGTAGATCTGATACTGATTCGGACAGTGTTTCTTCAACCACTTGCAGACATCCTGTTGAGTCCACAGAGCCACTGGTTTTGACAGCTTCACTGTAGCTGACTATAAATAAAGAAGGAAAAAAAGGTCTGTTAATGCCAGCCCCACGCCTAGAAAGGCCCTACTGTTAGAGGTTCTAGAGTGTGCTAACGGCTGCAGGCTGGATGTTCCCAAGAGATAAATATCTTGCTCGTGTCCCCCCTGACCTCAGCAGACCTTCTGCACAGCCCTGAAAACCAGAGAGAAAAGCTTCAGGTGAAGCAGCCCATGAAAATCACACCTACCCTTGAGTCATCATCTTACTGGGAAAAATCCCCAGGAAGTAGTGTTTCCTGATGAATATTCTAACAAGACAACAGGGTTGCTAAACAATTAATTAAATTTTAGGTGGGGGTGTTGGGGTGGGGAATGGGTGGGGAGAGCTGCCTCCAAGTGGCCTTTTTCCATATTCTAAGAAAGTGTCCATCTTTTGCCCACTGACATCTCTAGGGCCTAGTACAATACTGGTCCTGGCAGGTGATGATAATTATTTTTTAAATGAACGTTACAGATTTAGATACTGCATTCTGAAATGTGGAAGTCGGCCTGGGAGCTCTGGACCGAGGGTGGCCCTGTAAAGTCTAGGAACATTAGTTATGCCACAGTGGGGAAGCAAGAAGTCAATTCTGCCAGCATGTGGGGAATGGTAATAAGATAATGGGGGTAGCCAGACCTCATGTGGAAGCCAAATGGCCAAAGCCCTTTATTGCTCACTGAATCTTTTAAGGAGGTGTTTGTAAAAGCCAACCAAACACAGGGGTACAAGGACCCAGCTTTTGACAGATGGCCGGTTACAAATACGTTCATTAATTAACAACAGTCAACTGTGCTAAATGCTGATCTTCCTCCTGGATCCCAGACTAGATGAAAGCTCAGCTCTCTATAATTTTGATCATTCGGGATCACTGTTTGCCAACAAAGTAAGATGTAATGTTGACAGTTTTCAAAAAGATGTTAGGTGGCACGCAGATCTGGCCATAAACATCGCAGACCTTCTCACGAGGACCATTCACTTTTGCTTCTCTTTCAGTTTTTCAGATTAAGGCAAGAGGAGAGCCTCGATTTTGCATGAGTGTGATTTAACACCTTTCTGACATCTGCTAACATGTTTTTGACAAAAAGAGGGGTCCCTTCAGCCTCAGACCCTTTAGTAGGAAGCAGTATATCTAGCGTCTAATAATTGTTCTGTTTTACTTTTATTATATTTAGGGTTGCTTTTATTTTATGGAAAATAAATTAAGGCAAAAGTAAATCTTATTTCCAGTAGTTATATCTAGTTTGCTTTTAAAACAAATGAGTAAAAAAACAGTAGGTCAATTTTAAGAAAAAATTAAGGAAACATTAATACAGGTAATCAGATAATAATACAAATAGTGGAAGTGGCATGCAGTGATTCAAGTTTAGAACACACAGTGCTCAGGTGTTATTTTCATTAGTATATTTCCAGTTGTATTATTCTTTGCACCATTATTTACAAAATAATCACAAATGATACTTATCACTTTTTACTTTGTGCTGTGTTAATTTTTTCTTTCACTCTTAAGTGTGATAGATTATATTTTCCAAAGATGCTTTTTATTTATTGTGACTGGCATTCCTCCACTGATATTTGGGGTTGATGTTCTCTCCCCTTTGATAGTGGCAGGTCCAGTCACAGGTCCAGGACCACCATGGTCCTGACCAATGGAGTACAGTGGAATCGATGTTATCTATGTGACTTCCGAGGGCAGGCCATATAAAACATACAGTTTCCACCTGGCTCACCCTCTCTGGCACTTGCCTTTGGAACCCAGCCACCATAGTGTGAGGAAGCTCACGCCACATGAAGAAGCTATGTATAGGAGTTTTGGCCAATCACCCAGCTGAGAACTTAGCTGCCAGCAGCCAACCACACCAACCCTCAGACAAATAAGTAAACAAGCTTCAAATGATTTCAGCCACCAGCCTTTGAGTCTTTCAGCTGAGGCCCCCAGACACCATGGTGCAAGGACAAGCCAACCCTGCTAAGCCCCGAGTGAATTTCTGACCCATATAATTCATAACTATCCAAAATAGGTGTCTTGCACCACTAAGTTTTGGGTTATTTGCTTTGCAACCCTAGGAACGAGGACCCTAAGTTAGACAGACGTGCACTGAGGACAGAAGGGTTATTACTGTGCTTGTCAGGGTGCCTCCCACTTAACAGATGCTCTGTGCAGACACAGTGAATGAGCGAATGAATGACCGTTCTTGCTGAGTCTGGGTTCACGGGTCCGCTTATTATTTAACCAGCAGTTAATTTCAGGCCTAGCCCTTGCCGCCCTCCACCCACTGTGCTGTGCTCACATGGCTCCTAAGCCAACTTGGCCTCTTCCTTCGACGCTACATCCCTGAGCCACAGGCTTGCCAGCCATTTCCCTCTGACCTCAGTGTGCAACCGTATCGACTGCTTTCCTAATTTTGATGACAGAAGAGGACCTTTGGCGTGGATGGTACAAATGAGAAAATGTTCTGTCTTTTGGTTTTTCCCCCTTTTGCCCGTCATCACCTCTTTTCCTCTGCATGATTAGGAAACGAGAACTTTGGCTCTTTTAGCTAGAAATGCACTTACCACCATGTTTTACAAGTCAGCACCTTTGAATCTGGCTCGTTCGGGCTCTGAGAATTTTCCTTTGGATTAGTGGAATGAGTTCATGGCTGACACATCATTACCCCGAACCCCTTGCAAAAGTTTCCTGCACGTAAAGCTAATCACTTCTTTTTGAAAACTCCGATAAACCAGTCACAGAAGGCTGTCAATTAGGAAGGGAAAGGCAAGAGGATAAAGTTGCTTATACATCAATATCCTCAACTTCCTGGAGGGTCACTCTTCAACTTGCTCATTTCCTAGGAAACAGGACCCTCAGGACCAAGACAAGTCCATTCTCTGGAGACTCAGGTGGAGATTCACTCAAAACGCCGAGTGAATTCAGAATGCATCCTCGCCAGCCCACCATCTGCTTTTGCTATAAATTTTCCTTTTCATCATAAATCCAGGTGTTCTGAGGCTAACACTCGAGGAGCTTCATCGTTTTTCCTTCAACATATCCTCTCGCTAAGCAGTCATTTGGTTGTCACTTGCTTGAACAGCAATAAAATCTATGCTTTAGGCATAGGCTTTTAAGGCTATATGAACCTACAGGGATAGGCCTCCACGTAAACTGGTATAGCGAATAAAATGGGGAGAGATAAAGATTCCCACCACCAATAAGAAGTTTGCCTCTCTGTAATCAGACAGCATACAAGTATCAGCCTCATTTATGTGTCAGCTGATTCTTTGTCTCGGCTTTATTATGAAATTATTATGAGCTAGCTCCACACTAACTAAAAGCCACAATGACTCCGGTTTGCTGGATGCTCAGAGTGTACCTTCATTTGTTCTGCCTAAACTTCTCTTTGTATAACACCCCAGGTCACCTCAATATTTCTCCTTCTAATCTGATGTCCCAGCCCCAACAGCAGTGAATGTCATAACCTGATTCCTTGAAAGAGCTTAACCTTTATTTCTATGTGCAATTTGAAACAATAAGCATTGGTTCAACTCACGTCAACCTGTTTCTCACATTCATTGGGGGGTGCACAGTTATCAAATCGTAATAGTTCCATAGTGTTATTTTAATCACCCTCGTTTCCTCTGTCACCCAACACTCACACCACTATTTATACTCAACTCTGGCCAGTAATTTTCTCTGATATGCCGTGTATTTTTTTTTTTCCCACAGTAGGAGCCTAAACCGAAACAATAGTTCATAAAACAGAGATAGTATTTCATATTTATTAGAAACGGTAAACACACACACACACACACAAAATCCTGCCTAAAGGCAAACATTATAAAAAACACGTGGCCCAGTTTTCTTACTCAGCGTTCAGTCTGCTACAGGTTCCCTGGATTTATAACTCTGGAGACAACTTTGGTTTGTTCTGCTGCCCTCAGAGAGGCCTGAGGCAGCTTGTTATTTTAACCCCTACACGCTGTGACACCAAGCAGAAATCCCAAGCATTTCCCTGCTGAATTGGTCCAGGCCTTTTTACAGACAAGCCGAAAGTGCCTTTACTTTCCATTTCACGTGGAGACCTCACTTTATGCAAGAGACACATCTTTTGTTTGCAAATTACTTTTTTTTTTTTTTTTGCAAATGATCTTATTTTATACATCAGCTATCCTTACAGTAATTTTTGATTTGTATTAAACTGGAAAGAATTCTTATGTTTTAAGTTTTTAAGGTACACATGAAGCTTTTCTGCTAATAATTCATGCTTTAAAGGGGTTTGTTACGGAAAGAACATACACAAACATTTTGAAAGTTAAATTTAATGATCTCTTACATGTTTTGCAACATAAATTCTTTTAATATACTGTGTTTTGATTTATAAGAGAACAATGCAATTTTAAGCTCCCTGTGGCTGTACAAACTGTGCAATTTTAAGCTCCCAATGGCTGTAAATAGGTAAGCTTACATGAGACCCAGTGAGTTGATTGTGAAAAACTAAAGAAAGCATAGATTGCTGATATCTACTAGAAGACCAAGCGAGCTTTATGGCCAAATATCAGAAAGTGGGAAACACGTTTGCAGCATCTCATTTATAAGCATCTGCTTGTAAGTATTTATAAGTGTTTGCAAGCTCTACACATTGCTTCTTCCTTCTCTTGCCACCCTGCAATGTTTTCCTTTAGTTCCCAGTTGACTATTTTATTGGCTTTCATTGTGTAATCTTTCTCAGGATTGGAGAAAGAAAGTAGACTGGAGGGAGAGGTGTGCACACACGCACATCAACAAGCCACCGATGTCTATTTTAGCATTTTGGTGCTCATTCACTCAAAAAAGGGCCTCTAAATATCAGAAAAGACGGGCTAATTCTCAGAATACTTGGCACTTGAATTAATTAACTTTTAAGTATCAATAATGCCCTCTTCTGTCACCTTAACACTTTCGTGAACGAAGGTGTTTAGAAAAAATTCAAAAAGTATCTCTCCTATTGTATTCTGTTTCCTAGGCAGCTTA